AAGGAAACTGAGGCAAATGAATTAAATTGGTCTGGATTTGAATTCAGGCCTTCCTGATTTCAGGCCCAGTATTCTATCCTCTGTTCTACCACTTGCCTAATAATTATCACTTAGAAAATATTAGATTAAAAGGCAAAATAATCCATGTATGTAGTCATTCAAGAAATATTCCCCGAATCCCTCCATCTGCAAGATGAGATGTGTTTTTCATACACAGAAACCTACCGTTACGTTCAAAATTTGAAAGGACCAGCACAGACACACATTATTCTGAATAGCTAAAGTAGGTCATCTAAATGAATCAACTAAGGCAAATAATGGAGCCAATAATTTAAATGGATTATTCAGATCTCTTTATTTGTCTGTGGTGAGTAGATACCTGGCTCTGAGGTGTCATTGAAATGTGGAACTCCCAGCATGGAGCCTCCCTCCTCCCATGTGGATGTTTACCATCTTTAGAGACTTGCTAGGGCATTGAGAAGAGTAGTGACTTGCCTATGGTGACACAGACAGTGTGTTTGGGGCAGGACTCAAACCTGGCTTTTTCTATTCTAAGGCTGGTTCTTAATTGACTCCATCAGGCTGACATGACATCATTGCCTGCATATAATATGGGAGATGCAGATTCGAGCAATGTTTTTTTTAACTGAGGGCATGTTTTTTGTTTACTGGCTTTGTTTTATGTTGTTTTTGTTCTTTATACTGGTAGACTGGTTAGCAAAGTAGTATTCTTGGAAATTCCTTGGGTTCTCATTGCAGTTGTTTGTTTGTTTTTTTGTTTTCTGAGTTGTTTTTCCCCTTTTCTCTAGTACTATTTTTCTTTTTGCTGAATCTTTCCAAAACCCTCTGTGAAATAACTTTTAGCCTTGGGAAACTACAAAGATTTAAGCTTTTAAATCTTTTGAAAACACTCATAACAAAAGGATAGAAAGCTGGCAACTACTAAAGTATTTTTTTAATAAAACTAAGACAGGAAAATAGGAAAGCAAGAGATTTCCAGGAAGATGGTGAAGCGAGAAGTCACAAAAAAGCTCAACTCCTCAATGTACCCCTCAAAAACAACATCAGTGATGTCACCAAAAGAAAGAAATGAAGAAATTCTACTAAACACAAATACCAGAAATTCTCACAAGAAGATTTTTAAATGACTAAAAGAAATGAACAAACCCAAGGAAAGTTCTTCTTCAATGAAAAATAAATAGTATAGATTAAGACAAGTGGAGACAAATACGTCAGGGGAAAAAATCATGGAGAAATAACATGATCATCAGAATCAGAAACAAAGTCAAAATTTTCTCAAACAACAAAATTATTATAATCATACTGAAGTAATTAAAAGAAGAAATGAAATTAGTAAAAAAAAAATCACAGTGAAGAACTAATTATAACCAAGGAAGCTCAGATGAAGATGAAACTTAATAGGTTAGAAATATCCAAGGAAAACATAAACAGAACAATAGGTTAAATGAAAAATCAAATTATTTTATTGTAAGACATAATGGAAGAAGGAACAGAAGAAGCAAAATATTTAAAACAAAATTAATAAATTTTTCAACTATAAAAAGAATTTTAAGTGATGCAGACAAAAACAATAGACCAAAGATAAAAATCATTAGGCTTATGTAAAAAGGAAATGGAAAAAGAACTGTTAAGAAAAGAATTTCATAAATCAAAGATCCAAACATTGGGGAAAAGAACTTACTATTTGACAAAATTACTGGGAAAACTGGAAAGCAGTTTGGCAGAAACTTAGATACAAACCAACATCTCACACCATTTATCAAGATAAGATCAAAATGGGTACATGATTTAGACAGGGGAGATACAATAAGGCAATTAGGGTAGCATAGAATGTCTTACCTGTCAGATATATGGATGGGGAAGATTTGTGGCAAAATGGGATAGAAGAGCATTAAGGGAAGTAAAATGTATAATTTTTATTATATTAAATTAAAAAGCATTTGCACAAACAAATCCAATGTAGGCAAGATTAGAAAGCAGAAAACTGGGGGAAATTTTTACAGCGAGTTTCTGTGATAAAAGTCTCATTTATCATATAGAAAATTGAGTCAAATTTATAAGAAAACTAGTCATTCCCCAATTGACAAATTGGGATATAGGATATAAACCAGCAGTTTTCAGAAGAAGACATCAAAGCTATCTACAATCACATAAAAATGCTCTAAATCACTATTGATTAGAGAAATGCAAATTAAAAGAACTCTAAGGTACTACCTTACCCTTATCAGATTGGCTAATAAGACAGAAATGGAAACTAACAAATGTTGGGGAGGATATGGAAAAACTGGGGCATTAATGAACTGTTGGTGGAGTTGTGAACTGATCCAACTATTCTAGAGAGCAATTTGGAACTATGTCCAAAGGGCTATATAACTGTGCATACCTTTTGACCCAGCAATACCACTACTAAGTCTATATCACAAAGAGATAAAAGAAAAAAAAAAGAAAAGGACCCATATATATAAAATATTTATAGCAGCTCTTTTTGTTGTGGCAAAGAATTGAAAATTGAGGGGATGCTCATCAATCAGGAAACTACTGAAAAAGTTGTGGTATATGATTGTGATGAAATGCTATTATGCTATAAGAAATGATGAGCAGGAGGGTTTCAGAAAAACCTAGAATAACCTATATGAACTGATACAAAGTGAAGTGAGCAGAACCAGGAGAATATTGTACATAGTAACAGCACTATTGCATGATGATCAACTGTGAATGACTTACCTATTTTCAGGAATACAATGATCCAAGACAATTCCAAAGGAATTATGATGAAAAAATGCCCTCCACCTCCAGAGAAAGAACTGATAGAGTCTGAATGCAGATCAAAGCATACTTTTTAAACTTTCTTTATTTTTCTTTGTTTTTGAGTTGTTTGGGTTTTTTGGGGGGGGAAAGTCTGTGTTTTCTTTTACAACATGGCTAATATAAAAATATGTTTTGCATGACTGCACATGTATAGTCTATATCAAATTGCTTGCCTTCTCTGAAAGGAGAGAGAGAATTTGGAACTCAAATTTAAAGAAAAGGTTAAAAACTGATACAATTTGATATGAAATATCAAATTTATCCTTGTTAAAAATAAAATAATTCCACAATTGTATTTCAAGAAATCATAAAGACATTTTCTAAGAAATATCAAAAGTGTAGATTTCAAAAGATTTCAAATAGAATTCACCAGAGGTCAATGGGACCAACTCTTAAATTCAATGCGGAGAGTATCTAATTGATAAACTTCAAGACTACAAAGACAAACAGATTATCATAAGAAAAGCATCTGGAAGGCAGAGGGAGAGAAGTTTTACATATTTAAAAATAATACTTGGAATTTCACATGCTTTTTCTACAAAAAAATAGAAAGGACAGAATTTAGAACATGATGTGTTGAAATTTAATTAATATATAGTCTTTATTGTGAAATCATTTTCTGGGTAGGGCTAAACATTATCAGTCTATTAATCTTGTCAAAAATAGCAATAAAGTCAGTCTGGCACAATCCATACTTGCCCTGTGTCATCACTGTTTCCTTTTTTATATGTTCACAAACTATCCTTTTAATAATATTTTCTAGAACATTGCCAGGAAGTGAAATCAAGCTCACTGTCCCTTAGTTTGAAGACCCCATTAACTTCCCTTTTTTGAAAATCAAGGAAACATTTTTCCTTCTCTATTCCTATGCTGTCTTTCTTGTTTTCCACAGTCCTTCGAATGTGTCACTGGCAATGGTTTAGTAATAATATTCAGAGAGATAAGATTCAGAGAATTAGAAAAGAATATTATCAATTAATTTTCATGTTAAGTATTATATAAAATGTTGCCAACCATAATATAAGTACATGCATATATGTATGTATACATGCATAAATTGTATGTTAATTAAGTGCATTTTGGACACACAGAAGGAATAATAATAATAGTAATAAGCTAGATTCATTATTATTAATGTTGGACCAGGAATGGAGAGATAACCCCATAATTAAGAAAAAAAGGCACAATAAATCACATCTGCAATAAAATAATAAAACCATATAATAATACAAGTTTATGCAAGAAAAGCCATTGATAAAATGCAATACCAATGGGAAAATTTTTTTGTCTTAGCACTACAAATAACACTTACCTGAATCAAAATTTGGCATTACAGGTAATAAAGGAACTTTTGAACCTTTCCCAGTTCAGTAATGGTATAAAACACACCTAACCTGCTTACTCTCAGTATTACTTCACATAGATCTAGACCTATGAGCTATAGCAAAAGACAAGGAAAGAAATTAAAGGAATCAGCACTGTTTATATCCTAAGATATTTGGATTCTAAAATATTCTTTTAGCAGAAAATATTGTGATTTATTTAGAAAAAAGCAAGATAATTCAATATATTTTGATAATAAATATTTTCAGCTATCTTGGACAAACTCACAGGATCACCAGGATTCCCACATATTACCAAGATAAAAATATAGAAAGAGCAATACCATTCATAATAACAATGTAATATATTAACTATTCGTAAATTAATCTATCAACATAAACACAAGGTTTATATACAGGTAACTATGGATAATTTCTGGTAGAAATAGAAGAACTAAATCATTGGATATATCTTTATGGTCCATGGTTAGGTCAACCCAATATAGTAAAGATGACAATATTATCCAATTTTAAATTTAATTCTATATCAAACATAATTAGTGGAGTATGTCAAAGTACTACATAAAATAGCAAAAGTCATCAAATGAAGAATAAAAAATCAAGCATATCCAGAGAGATAATGAAAAATAAAAAAAGCAATTTAAACTCTCCAGATCTTAAATTATATTACAAAACCATCACTGTAACAAACAAAAACAAAAACAAAAACACAACAACAACAAATCTGGTACTGAATAAAAATTAGAAAATAAATAAATAAAAGGAAAAGAATAGCAAATAATGAGTCAGAACCTAGTAGTATTTATAAAGCATTTTATATTTGCAAAGTAATTTACATATTTTCATCTCATTCGAACCTCATAACAAGTCTCTGTACTACATTTATAGGTATTTTTATCCACATTTTACAGATAAGGAAACTAAAGTTCAGACGTTAAATGAATTGCCCATGGTCACACAGATACAAAGTTCCTGAGACAGGATATGAAATCAGGTATTTTTGTCTCCAGGTACAGAGTGAAAATCTAAATCAGTAACTACTAATCACCATTTCACATCCTGGTGGAGGGGCAGGGGTAGTGGGGGAGGGGTATGTGATCCATTCAGCTGAAAGAATGGTAAGTGTTAAGGCATAAAACTGAAATCTGAAGGTAGAAGGGTCTCCGCAAAGGTTCATTTCAGGGAGTCTCCTCACTTAAGGTAAGGGCAGAGAGAAGGCCACCTGCATTTTGTTTGAATGTGATTCTGAGGAACAGTGCTGTAACTAGCAATGTTGATGTCTCAGGCAATCAGCAAGAACCATGGCCTCAGATCATCTTTGTGATTAGTGGTGTAAAAAACAATACAAGAGTAATTAAGGCTAACTCATTTTAATATCAGAATGAATTGGTTACTATAGTAGTTCACAGAGGAGAGCTATTAATAATGTGATTGGCTTAATAGTATCCTATTTAAAAGAACAATTCTCACTAATTGGGTGCTTAGTTGTTTCTGGACCAGTGAAAATGTAGAATGTCTGTATTCTCTAAATCCTGGTGCTCTGGTTCACAATCCTGGTTGTCCCACCCTAGTTTTAGCTCTTCTTAGGAAGGCCTTGAATTCCTAATCTAAACACAAGAATTCATAGGGCACCTTACGTAGTGGACTCTTTGGCAGTCATTTTCACACCTGAAAGATTAACCTGAACCGAGTCGGGGAGGATGCAGCATCACATTTAGAAGTGATCTCCTCTAGGAATCATACTGCCCTTAGTGTTTTGCTTTTTCATAAATTTGCACTTCCTAAAATGTTTCTCCAAGAGCAGAATAGGTCACTTCTCTGTCGGGTGTACTTCAGGCGGGCTGTTCTATCCATAATCACCTGAAAACAGGAGAAATACAATGTTACAGACAGACCAACAGACACAGGGAGAAAAAAAGCACATTCAATCTAAAAATGCCCTCTAGCAAATCAAAGGAAGCATGGGAACTCTATCGCACCAACTACAAGGCATGTGGGTAGCCTCAGTCACTACAGAGCAAGTAGCTTGTAAATGAAAGGAGCCCGGCAGAGAGGCATACTGTACCTGCCAATCTAAGGAGCCTTTCAGGCCAATGACATGGCTGAGGCTCCCTGAGGAAACAGCCTGGAACTGGATACCAATGGAGGCCCTGAGTCCTCAGCGGTCAGGAAGGAAGGAATGCAGTGGCTTGCTTCAGCAGTGAAAAAGAATACTTCACCATTCCTCTGCCATTTCAGACTGGCTCTTGAAGGAAAGACTGCTGAAGGGGCTCTTAGGAAGGATATCACGCCTGGGAAGCTACTTTGCCATTGACAGATGGGAAGGGTCAGAGGTCACCATGATATACCTTGTGGGTTTCTGGATGGAAATATGCTCATTCTTGCAGTATCCTGGCATGCACAGTTGTTCATCCATGCCGGTGCACCATGACTTAATGATTTTCATTACTGATAAAAATTGTTGAGAGCTTATTGAGGACAAATTGGTATTTTCTTGCCATTTCACTTATTTTGGTTTTGTACCCCTATTAGGCAAACTAGCCTTCTTGAAACATCATTCTCCCTGAAGGATGGACAGGAGATAGCACGTACCAGGTGGATAAAATCACTGCTACCCCCTCAGACTCTTGTAAAGATAGCCCAGAACCCTGAATTCAAGGACCCTGAGAATAGCAGCACCCTCAGACAAATAACCCTGCTTTCAGACTGGACCCTATAGCAATCACTGAGGGGGGCAACTCTTGCGGAGAAAGGACCCACCACCACCAACTGGGCAGACAAACCAGCCTAGCTGAAGCAGCAAGGCACCCTAAGGGAGCGACAAGAGGTGGCATGTGCCAAGTGAGTCAAACCATTAACCATCTCCCCTTGGACCATGGTGGAGACAGCCTAGCATATTCCCTACCATCACCAGTACCAATCACCAACCAAATGCCACCGACAGGTAAGTCCAAGAGCCCTGGGAACAGCAGTGCCAGGGCTACAAGACCCTGCTTTCACAGGCCCCTCCAGCCATGAAATCCTCATGGATATGTGGCCTGTCAGATCTCCTCTGAAGGTGCTATAACCCCTGCCACCTCAGCAGCTACAGCTACTGAAGACCCAGAGAAGAAAATTCCCAACTCCAGAGTCCTTGGCATCATCAAATGGTTCAGCAGTAGAAACTGGCATGATCTTGTTAATAGAAATGGCTTTAAAGAAGATACATTGCCCTCTGCTTTACCCCTGAACCCCAAGGATCACCTAGCCTTTGTATTTGATTGGCAGCTGAAGCCTCCTATATGTGTCTTCTCCTCTATTAGAATGTGAAATTCCTGAGAGCAAGGGCTCTCTCTGCTTTTCCTTCTGTATCACTTTGTTTAATCATTCTTCAGTCATCTCTTACTCTTCTTGACCCCTTTTGGAGGTTTCTTGGCAGAGAAACTGGAGTGGTTTTCCATTTCCTTCCCCAGTTCATTTAACAGATAAAGAACTGAGGCAAACAGAGTTAAGTGACTTGCCCAGGGTCACACAGCTAATAAGTGTCTGAGGCTGGATTTGAATTCAGGTCTTCCTGTCTCCAGGGCCAGGGTTCTATCCATTGTGCCTAGCTGTCCTAATCTGCATATAGTAAGGGCTCAAATAATATTCTTTTTTTTCTTTCTTTCTCTCACTTATTCATTCATCTCTAGCTTTTTCATTAAGTCTTAGCACAGAATACAGACAAAGAGAAGAGTTAAGTAGTTTTGATTTCTCTGTCACCCAATTCATCTGAAGCAGTGATTCTACCCCCTTCTTAGATCTTGCTCTTTCCCATGACATAATTAAAAATAAAAAAGAAACAAATACAAAGTCTTATCCTGTACCTCCAGCCTCAGCTCATTCTGAGCTTCAGCACTCCTATAAACAATGGCTAACATTTAGATAGCCCTATAAAGTTAGAAAAGCATTTTGCATATGATGTCAACAACACCTTTATTTAGGTGCTATTATTATCTCCAATTCTCAGATGAAGAAACTGAGGCAAACTGAGATGAAGTGACTTGCCCGGGGTCGTACTGCTAATAAGTGTCTGAGACAGGATTTGAACTCAGGTCTTCCTGCTTCTAAGTCCAGTGCCTGGCTTCCTCCGAAGCTCAGCCTGGGAGTCTCTGACTTAGGGTTTTCTCTCTACTTTGATTTCTTACCTTTTATCATAATGCCTCACTGCCTTCACTTTGATGGCTTTGATCTGTCTTTATCAGATTCCAGCCAAAGCCCCAATGCAAACAGATACAAGCCTCCATTAACTCTAATTTGAAAGCCTTAAGTAGAAATCCACTGACAAGTAACTTCTCCTATTTTCCTTCCTTATTCTAGCTAATTGTGTCGATCAGATTTCCTCCACTGACACCTTGCTTGGTGTCTTCTGACTGTCCATGATGAGTTAGTCTGGGTAGACATAACTGCCAACCTGCCTATACTGGGTTAGCTGTGGCCATCCGATGAGTCCCAGCTTGGTTGACTTCACAGTTTCTAAAGACCTTATCTTGCCTGACCTTCACAGGGGTCCTATGAGGTGGACATTACCTTATCACTATCTTCATTTTATAAAAATGAGGAAACTGAGGTTTAGAGACGGAAAACAGCTTGCTCAGGGTCATACAGCTAGTATGTCTGAAGCAGGGTGTGAGCCCAGCTCTTGCTGTCTCCAAGCCCTATGCCCTATCTACCATGCCATGCAACCTATCTAGGAGAATTTCCTTAGACCCTATGATATCTATGTAGTGATACTCTTCCACAGATCTCAAAACACTTCAACTTTTGTCCTGACCTTCCCCCTCTTCACCAAGAAAGAAGCTGAGCCATTACATCGTAAGATCATTGGTCTCAATCTGGAGGGGGCCTCAAAGTTCATCTGATCCAAACTCTTTTTTTTTTTTTTTTTTTTTTTTTTTTTTTTTTACAGATGAAGAAGCTGAAGCCAAGGGAAGTGAGGTGCCTTGCCCAACAGGACAGAGGCAGGATTTAAGCCCAGGCTCTCTGACTCCAGAGTCAGTACCCTTTCCCCTAAACCAATTATTTCCATAATTCCCACATCTGCTTGACGAGAAAGCTAGTTAGAGTAAGGACGGCTAGTTTTCCTGTGTAGAACCAAGGCCCACAACCCTCTAGAGGTTCAGTCAATGCCTCCTAGAAATAACAAAAAGAAGCATAGCTTTCAAATCCCTAATTCCCGGAAACATAAGAGACCTAAGCACAAATGAAGCAAAGAGCTGTATCCACATATACTAGGCTTCCCTAGGTTCATTCAACTATAGTTCTTGCAATAAAATCAAAGTTAACTCGCACTAGGACTAGGAGACAGTGGAGTCCCTCCTCTGTGTGTGTGTGTATGTGTGTGATTTTAAAGGACTAGTCATTCATCAAATATTAGTGGAACACTTACAGAGTATTAGGAAAATAAAATGTCCTGCTGAAACATTGCCCTTGCTTTCTTAGAGCTTATAACCCTCTAGGAGGATAAGATGCCACAATAATAAAGGTGTATGAAATTACACTATACAAGCATCAGAGAGCTACAAAGCCAATGATTTGCAGGTGTCATAGTGGTGATCACTGCTAGCTGGTGAGGCCAGGGAAGGTTTCCAGACATCAGAGCTGGGCTTTCAAGGACAAGTAAGAATTGAGTAGGAGGAAAAGATGGGGGAGGACATTTTTGGTACAAGCTATAGCAGGAACAAAGGTATGGGATCTCTAATGCAATAAAAGTTTGGAGAGCAGTGAGCAATTTGGGTTGGCTGCAGTCTCAGATATGTGGAGAGCAGGAAGGTAAGGCTAGATAGGCAAGATGGCAACCAGAAGGTGGAGATCTTCAAATACCAGGCATTCTTCAGTGAATTTCACACAGTGGGCAACAGAGGGGGAGAGGGGAAGAGAGGAGGGGGGAGAGAAGGAGAGTGGAGGGGTACGGAGGAGAGAAGAGAGGACAGGAGAGAAGAAGTGAGATGAGAGGGGAGGGGAGGGGAATGGAGTGGAGGGGATGACAGGACAGGATAGCATAGAACAGGGGAGGGCAAGGGTTGGGAAGGAGAAGAAGAGAGGCATGGAGAATGGAGGGGTGGGAAGGGGAAGAGAAGAGAGGAGGGGAGAGAAGAGGTGAGATGAGGAGAGGAAAGGAAAGGAGAAGGAAGGAGAGGAGAGGAAAGGACAGACAAGGACAGGGGAGGAGAGGAGAGGATAGGGGAGGGAAGGGGAGTGGAAGAAAGGAGAAATGGAGAGCCTCTGAATTTACGGGGCTGTTCAATCAACTGCAGATAGAGAATTGAGAGAATGATTCAAGGGTAATCTAGTCAAATAATTACATGGGAAGTATTTTCAAAAGCATTTCAATAATATTACTTAAATTTACACTTTAAAAGCCAGGGTCCTGAGGACATTACCAAGTTGTCCAGTTCATCAAGGAACTTCATCATTTTATTCTTTCTGGTCACCCTAAACATTGTGAGAGTGAAAGCTTAGCAGAGTGGCTAGCCCATAGGAAACATTTACTAAATGCTGGCTGATGACTCACAAAGGATAAAAGCTAATGCTGTGTCCATTTCCCAAGAAGCCACCAGTGTTTGAATTAGAGAAATGCAGTTATGAGTATATATATATATATATATATATGTATGTATGTATGTATATATATATACATATACATATATATGTGTATATGTGTGTGTGTATAGATATATATAGAGAGAGATATATAGATATATAGATATATATATGTCAGAGTAATATAGCCTAGATGAGTGAGGGACCAGGGCTTCCACTCATGGAGTGTTCAACTCAACCACTGGGGAAGCAACACATCAGTAGAGTCATGTACAATATACCATTGTATATACAACATACAATGGACTGACCTGGCAAGGTAAGGCGACTTGACGAGCTTGTGCTTGGGGCTGGTGAGCCATGAGGACGTCGCTTTATGCCTGTTAGGAGAAAAAAAGCAGGGAGAGTAAAGACAAAGAGGAATTCAGGCCTCCTCCTTTGATCAAATGAGGTAATAATGATATTGATAACATTAATATCAACAATAATAATAACTTAGAGTTCTTTAACATGACCAAAGCACTTCACATGCACTATCTCGTTTGATCCTTACAAAAGCCCTGTGAAGTAGGTATTGTTGTTATACCCAGGTTTCAGGTGAGGAAATTGAGGTTCAGAGGTTAAGTGACTTACTCATGGTTACACAGCTAATGAGTATGATGAATAGAATTTCAACCCAGCTCTTTCCTGACTTCCAGGCTCTCACTCTTCGTATCACACATCTAAAGCACTTAGTAAATTGTAACACACTATATAATTATGAATTACTACTTATCGTAAGTTTTAATTTAATTTTAAAATCATGTGAATATTATGAGTATGGAAATATGGCTTTCAGGAAAATGTCTCACGAGAATATTAACGCATCCCAGCAGACCCTAAGATTATAATCCTATTGCTGGAAAGCATCTCAGACAGCAGCAGGTACAGCATGCTCATTTTCTAGGGAAGGAAAGTGAAGCTAAAAAGATGAGGTAATTCACTCCAGACCACCCAGGTGCTTAATGAGGAAGGTAAGATTTGAATCCAGGTGCTGGGACTCCAGAGTCAGGCCTCCCTCCACTGGACCATACTGCCTTGGTTCAGTAAGCTTATAAAAACAGCCAAGGGATTTTGGGTCTCCAGGTTCTAACACTAGCATTATAAATAGAGAAAGAAAAACACTTAATGATGACACAGACGCCTGAAAGTTCTAAACTGCCAGGGGGTGAGGGTGGAGCCAACAGGCAAGGAGTTATGAGTGAAAAGTATATCGTCCTCATTCTTTTGCTAAATACATCCAACCAAACTAATATTTATATTTAATAAAAGCCCAGGTACTCCATGAGCTCAATGAACTAATTGTCAACCCTCCCCTGGTTTGTTCCACATTTAAGGTGTAAGCAGAATGTAGATGATGAGGTTGATACATGCATTGCCAGAGCTAGATCAGTGTTTGGGAGGCTCCAAAGGAAAGGGTGGGGAAGAAGAGGTATTAGGATGCCTACCAAACTGAAGGTCTACAGAGCCATTGTGGGGACCTTATTGTTGTACGCCTGTGAAACCTGGACAGTATACCAGCGCCATGGCAAGAAACTGAATCGCTTCCCTTTGAATTGTCTTAGGAAAATTCTGAAGATCACTTGACAGGATAAGATACTGACACTGAGTTTCTTTCTTGAGCTGAACTGCTAAGCATTCAAACTGCAAAGAGCACAACTCCAATGGGTTGGCCACGCTGTTTCAATGACAAACATACATTTGCCTAAAAGGCTGTTTTGTGGAGAATTCACACAAGGCAAGCGCTCACACGGAAATCACGAGGAAGTGATGCAAGGACACTCTCAAAATCTCTCCGAAGAACTTTGGAATTGATTGTGAGACATGGGAGACACTGGCACAGGACAATTCAGCATGGGCGCCTGCACAACGTTCCATGAGCAAAGCCAAACTGCAGTAGCTCAAAAGAAGCACAGATACACAAATTTAGAGATCTCCGCTACAAATGTTCACATGGACTATTTGTGCTTGACTTGTGGTAGAGCCTTCTAAGCTCATATTGATCTGATCAGCCACAGTCAGACATACTGTACCTTGACCCAAAAATAGCGATGTCATTTTGGTCCTTTTCCAGAATGAAGGACAAGCAACCAACCACATATTCTGTGCATTGATTCATTTGACCGACCACTTGACTCTCAAGATTCGTATCCATTGTGATCTTTGATCATGATCTCGCAGTGGCAATACACTTTGGAAATGTGCACTGCACTTTTATTAAAATGTCCTTCTTGTCAGGAAGTATGCATAGCAGGAAAACTGAGGAAGGGCAAAAGCATAAACATGGCGGTGGGTATGGGGAGGTGGATGTGATTGATCATTTTATATGGAAATGGTGGCCAAAGATGGAGTCACTAAAGGAGGAGAGGGAAATTACCCGTTGGGTCCCTCACTGACTCTACAAGTCAAGAAGATAATAAGGTCAAAAGGGTGGTGTGGGAGGGTAGAGATGGTAGGAAGAAGGGACCTTTAATAAATGTGGGGTATTTTTTCAAGTTATGTTTGATGAATAGTTTAAATGGATGCCCTATTTGTAGGGAAAGCACATGGAGACAGAAGAAAAAAATCTTTTTCTTCATCAAATGCTTTATGGACATGACTCAGAATCCTCAAAGACCATGCCACTCAGTGTAAGAGAAGCTCTGTCAGGTCCTACCAAGATAGCAAAGCTTCAAATAAGGACCTGACCGTGGACTGTGTGTCCCTCATGTGTCTTTTTAAAAAATAATGATATTTTCTCAGCCAATGGTCCTAAATAGCCATCAAGAGTTAAACTGGACACAGCCCCTCAGGCTGTGTGCTTTCAAGTCCGGGTGCCTTAGAATCTGCACTCAGTCTCAGGGCTCTGAGAATCTGCCCCGCAACCAAAATTGAGGTAAGAGCCCAGGAGTCAGCACGAGCCTGGGGCTGTGTGCAGTTGGCTAGCCTTGGGCAGAAAGGAGGAGGAGGGAAAAGGGGCGGGTCTTTGTGCTCTCTCTCCTGCTCCTTTCCCTATAAATTAGAATATACAGTTCTGCCCTCCAATACATCTTTCTCCTGGTCATCCTTCTGCCCTGAGGACTGCGTGCCTGACATCTACCTGCCAGCCATGGACCCCAAATGTAGCTGCGAGAATGGTGGCTCTTACACCTGTGCAGGCTCCTGCAAATGCCAATCATGCCAGTGTGCCCCCAGCAAGAAGAGCTGCTGCTCCTGCTGCCCAGGAGAATGTACCAAGTGTGCCAGAGCTGTGTCTGCAAAGACCCCCAGACCGGGAGTTGCAGCTGCTGCCAATAATGTCCTCACTTCCCTTTGACTGTAAATAGAAGAATCTGTGCAGACCTGAATTTTCATACTGCATGGCTGTGTTATTTACTGTTTTTCTATGAAATGTATGAATTAAAATAAGCTTGATAAATAAAAAAAAATTTTTTAAAGAGTTAAACTGGAGTAGAAAACACCTGTTTGGCAATGATGCTTTTTAATCAGACATCATTGCTAATGGTATGTCATGAGTGATGGGGCTTCCATTTCTTACCAATCTTCCATCACTGGCTTCCACTGCTGTAAAGGTATAGACCTGAACTAATTTCATGTTTCCCAACCAATCATTGGGTTATCCCCTTGCACACAGTGAAGGTCAAATCACTCTTTCAGCTCTAAAGGGGAGTGTCACTGAAGCCAAGGAATTCAAGGCTTTTGAGACCTAAGGCCGGAAGTAAGTGGTTCTGTTCCAAGTCATAGCCAGCTGTGGAAATCAGATCAGTTATGCATTGATGTGGCTGACTACAGGTTAGGAGAAGAAGGGAATAACAAAAAGGCAGGAACATACATCAAATCAAGTCTAGAAGCCTTTATTAAAGATCTCCTATAAACAAGGTACTGTGTTAGGTTCTGGAGACAGAATGATGGAATGAAAAGGTATTTATCAAATATTCACCATGTACAAAGCACCGTGCTAAGCATTGAGGAGACAAGTAGAAAAATGAGACAGTCCCTGCCCTTAAGGAGCTCACATTCTGATGGGGGAGACAACTCATGGAGGTTTTAGATACAAGTCAGATGGAAACGTCCCATGATCCTTAAGGTATAGTGAAAAAGCTGATGGTAAGTAATATCTATTCTTTATTTCATTTCCACTGATAAAACTCCATCAGTTTCTAATGTTGAACTTTTTAGCAGGGCCTGCCCTCAAGGAGCTTAGAATCTACTAAAAACTCTTGGGGAAATCCATAAGTGATCCCTTTCCCCCATTGCTTACAACCATGTCCAATCTCCCTTACCCCTAAAAAGCCTTCATTTGACCCCATATCCTCCCAAACTATCATCCTTTATTACTCTGCTCTTTCTCTATTTCCTGCCTCCATTTCCCCACCACTCACTCAGCTCTTCCCTCTTTGCCATTTGTACTCTGACTCCATCACCAGAATGAAATGGATCTCCTTATGGCTACATCCAGCAGCCTTTACTCATTCCTTGCCCTATCTGATCTCTATATAGCTTTGGACATTGTCAGCCACCCTCCTCTCTTAGACACTCTGTTCTCCCTTGACTTCTGGGAAGGGGACTCCTCTTGGTTCTCCTCCCATCTGTAGGATGCCTCCCAATGTCAGCATGGCTCTCTCCCATTGTTTTGACTTGAGCCCTCTGCTCTTCTTTCTCTACTTAATGCTCTTTCCCTTGGTGGTCTCACTCACGATCCATATTTAACTGTCATCTTTATGCAGATGAGGCAGACATCATAATATTATATAAAACACAATGCCTCTAGAGTCAAAGGAACAGGGCTTAACTTTGACCTATGACATTAAGTACTTGTGTACCCTTGGGCAAATAATTTTCTGTACCTTGGTCTTGATTACCCCATCTGTAAATTTAGGGGAGCTGGACTATATGGTCTCTGTTGCCCCTTCCAGATCTAGATCTAGGATTTTAAGATTCAATGATTTCCATATCTATACACACAGTCTCTCTTGAACTCCAGCCTCACCTTGATAATTGCCCATTGGACATCTCTACCCACATTCACCACTGGCATCTCAAAAATATGTTCAAAGGAGAACCCATTATCCCCCTCCCCCATTAACCTACAATTCCTCCACATTTGCTTCTGTTGAGGGCACCATACCAATTTTCCCACTCATTCAGGTCTGCCTCCCTACCCCCTCCACATTCAGCCATTTGCCAAGTCTTGCTGTTTCTATTTCCACATCTCTTCTGTTTGTTCCTTTTTCTCCACTCACACAGCCTAATTCAGGTCCTTCCTCACCCTTCTCCTGGACTATTACAATAGCTCCTAATTGGTGAACTCCATTCCCATACCCTCTGTCTTCAATCTATCCCTTACACAGCTGGCTAAAGA